TTTACTGATACTAACACTTCTCTAGTCTTACATTGATTCACACTAAAATTTCAATTTGGTCCTTAAATTCTGGCTTTACCTCTAAATGGTGCCATCTAAAGTCTCAAATTCAAACACATTTGTAGAGATAGTTAGACAATCGTTTGACCTTTTTTTAACCACTATTATGACTTTCCTTTGTAACTGATTATCAGTTCTTATATACTGGGTTTACCCATGAATGGTGCCATCTAAAAAAAGTGCTTTAAATTCATTCACATAAGTAGAGGTAGACAACAATCAGCTTGTCTAACTGTTACAGATGTTAACATATTTTCACATAATATTTTTATCAGTTCTTAAATATCAGGTTTACTCATAACAGTGTTACACGAAAACAGTGTTTCAAATTCATGCACAATAGTAGAAATAGACAACAACAGGGCCGACCATTATTTTTTACTGATATTAACACTTTTTTTTGCATGTTATCGGTTCTTAAATTTTGGGTTCTACAATAAATTGTGTAATTTATAACAGTGTTTCAAATTCATACACATTAGTAAAGACTCAAGAGAGACCAATATTACTTGCTGATATTAACAGTTTTCATGCACAATAGTAGAGATAGTAGGGTTGTGCCGATAGACGATAGTATAGTGTATCGACGATAGTCAAGAGATATCGACGATAGCAGATGTCTTTGTCGATAGTCAAGACGATATTAGGCTCATTCTCTTGCACGCGCGCAAATGAGGAGCCTGTAGCCGGTGAAGGAGTCTCCAACCACAAACTCAAGACACATGTCGTCTGCTGATATAAGGTATTTCGTTGCACTTTAACAAGTAATCTGAACGGCCTATATACAGGGCTCTAGACTGCGACCAATTTTTGAGAATGTGCGAGTTAAAATTTGACAAGGTTGCATTTGTGCGAGTGCATGGTCTAAGCTGCTCCAAAGCGTCTGCTTCATACAGCGCACGCTGCAGAGCCGCGGCACATTGTAGCAGTAGTCAGATTTCACTGATCACGTGAAGAGAGGCGCTTTCAGCGCGAGTGCGAAGGTGCAGGCCGCGGACGGAGCGCAACGGAGGATTTGTTTTACAAACTAAAGTAAAAGACCACTTCTTAAACCAGAGAACATGTCGGTATTCCTGTGGGAAAAAAACATGCAAGTCCCACTTTCCTTATTTATTTTATTATTATTATTATTATTATTTATTTGATACCTCAGTGTTTGTTAAACATTCTGTAATTTATTAGTCGGTATACAGCATGTGATGTATCCGCCATGCCTCGTCTTATTCGTTTTTGTTAATAAAGGTTATGTAGGCTAGTTTGTCATTGTAGCCTACTGTTTTATTGTTGTTGTGCTTTTTAATTAGGAATAACAATAAATCCATCTTTTGTTTTAGTCTTAAAAAGTGAAAGGTGTATAGATATAAGCAAAACAGACAATTATCTTTTCTTGTAAAACGTGACACCAAGGCAAGATCGCGAATTTGAAAGTGAAAGTGCACGAAAGGAGTAATTCCTGTTCACAAAATTTAAATCACAAATAATACTGATGAAAAAGAACGGGTTGAATGTTGAACACTTTCGTTACCATATAACTATAAACTATGATAAAAGTTCATCAGCATGCATTGATTAATCAAAAATTGCGACCAAATTATGTGCTCGTGGATCTACTTTTGATTTTCACCGTTGACTGATTTTGCAGACCTTTTAGACTGATAACTTCCGTGCGTCGATGCAGCAAACTTGTCACAGGACGCACGGTCCTAATAGCGATGTATGACTGTTGTATCCGAATATATAGGAACTAGCTGTTTTAAATATTTTTGTATTTAACATGTTAGTTTATTAGTATGTTTGAAAGTATATTATTTAGATTCGCGGTGCTTCCATAGGCTCCCTCTCTAAAACACCAAATAGTTATGAAATAGCTTATGACAAGTACAGCGAGTCTCTATCTTGCCCCCACCCACCCATGCACGATAATATCGTCTATCGGCGATCTCACGGACTGGCGATATGACGATTTGAAAAATGACCATATCGCCCAACACTAAGAGATAGGCAATGATCGGACTTACCATTATTTTACCGATATTAACACTTTTTCACATAAACTGTTATCAGTTCTTAAATATCAGGTTAAAAGCGATAAATGGTGCCATCAGGTAAAGTTGGGTGCACCTTTTGCAATTGTTGCTTGTCAAGACAGTAAGACATGATCCCAGTGAGATGTACACATATATGTAGAAATAGGCTGATTTCACAGTTCATCTTATCCCAATTGGACATGTTACTTACATAAGACAAATAGCTAGATTGGAGTGGTTGTTGGACAACTACTTGATCGGCCTATCATAGCCCATCCCTAGTAAGGATTTGGGTAGATTGCACAAAACCTTTGAACCACCATGAGATCGTTTATTTCTCAGAAAAAGCAATTCCAATAACACAAAATTCTAAGAATCAGGGAGTCAGTCTGACACATAGCGTGCATTGGTTATTAACTAAAACCTTTAAACCTCTCAGAGCTGTATAATTACAGCAGGTATTTGATCAAAGGCCCTCAAATACAACGGGGTAATTTAGCCTCCCTCAATCTGAGAACATAGGGATCAAAATCTGCTTCAACCCCACAGCCCCACTCACTCGCTCGCCCTCTTTTTCTCACCCTCGCTTTCTCTAAGTTGAGAGCACAGATAGTGAACTAGAGGCTAAGGGTTATCACAATAATTTGGTACTAATTTGCTCAATTCAAGAACCCTCAAAGGCCTTTAAAAAGCTCTAGCCTGCTCAAAGGGACCTGACATGTGTGGTCTTTTAGCCCTCATTGACCACCAGGGCAACAATACTGAGAATGAAACTAATTCATCAGCTTGATTTTTCAGATTGCAATAACGTTTGCCCTTCGCCTCCACATTTGACAAATTACCTGAAGATTTTTTTCTTCAACCAAAATAATTTATCAAGTAAAGAAAAGCATAGAGCATGAAGCAATTGTGTTGAGAAACAGCTCAATAGCAATACTGAAAATAACACAACGTGTTGAGGAGTGGTGGATGTGCAATGCAATCTGGCAATGTGAGTTTCTCTAGAGTGTGCTGGAATGAAATTTAAAAAAATGCTTTCATCCTCCTTCCCGTAACCCAGGACGACCAAAGCTCATCTGTATGTTGAAAAAGTGAAGCGAGCTAATTAGTGATTTCACCTCACGGGAGAAAAATGAGAGAGAATTCAGTAGTCCATCAGAACTGCCAAGGTCTTCACACTGACTCATTTAATGGCTGAAGGATATTTGGAGTACAGAAGGAGTGTTATTAATACAGTAACAGGAATGCAGATTCACAGGTTTTCAGTTGTTTAGTTAAAAATTAAATTTTAAGTAAAATATAAAAAATTAAAGACTACATGAAACAGCATCTGCAACCAATTTTAGTTTCATAAAATGGTTTCTAGTGAAACCAGATATGCAACAATAAAAAAAAAAATTGCAGAAAATTACTTTTTTCTTTTTCTATTTTTTAACATAAAATTGTATACCCATGTACATTACTATTATTGTTATAGCAGCTGTTTCGCCAGTTCCCAATTTTTGTGGTCTTAAAATCTTCAATATAACATGAGCATAAGATATAAGCATAAGTCATTTTTTGTCCATATTTGTTTATTCAAAAAATATTTTAAATATGTAAATAAAAAAAATAATGCATACAGTGATTACACCTGTTCTATGATTCATTTCTTGTTCTGAATTAAAAAAAAATATATTGTGATATTTTTGGGGCATAAGGTCAAGACTGTCAGAATGATACAACTGTCTTGATATAATAATGAAGAAAAAAAGACTAATTAAAGAGATTAAAAATGGCATAATATTTTATTATATGTTAGAAACAAATATGCATTGAAGCAGTTTATATACATATAAAATCATGTTTTGTGGTGCCTTTTTTATTATCTTGGATTGTTTTATATGTCATTGACCTATTAAATACAGCCAAAATAACTATTTGGCATTAACCAAATTTTAGCTGAAAAGAAAAGTCTTCTCAGGGGAAAAACTTGTTTTTTATTTGGAAGTAATAATGCCCACTGACGAACTGTGCACAATAAGACCAGGAACAAGAAAAAGAAAGCTAACAGGGAAAAAATAGTGACTTCATGTTGACTTTAAAATTGCTTAAATTGGTTACTCAAGTGTCCTAGAACTTTTCCATATTCCATTTTTGCACTGTTCCCATAATTGACAGAAAGAAGAGAGAGAGAAAATCTAACCCAGGGAACCCAAACAGAAAAATGAGGTTGTTTTGTGTTCCTTGGAGGGTGCACTACTGTCAAACCAGAGCGGCGCTGACAGAATGTATTCACGGATCAGAACCAAAACAGAGCACGCTGTGTCACTATCACTGCAGAATCTCATCATTCCTGCGCTACTGCCAGCCAGTCACGGCCGAAGAACAAGAGATCAGACACCTAAACTGAAAAAGACGCAGGTGTCTAATGGCACGTCAGCTACAAGCAGTCTGGTCAAGCTGCCAGAGAGGAAGGAATAGTCAGCGAGCCTGGCTGAGCACTGAAGGATGCTGGGATACTTGAGGGGTGATTGTACATAGAGCAGATCTAGAATTTAGACAAGGGAATCATGCAGAGAGAAAGAAGAGACCACTGCAAAATGATCAGTTTCTCTGGTTTTTCTATTTATAGGCATGTGTTTGAGTAAAACAAATTTGTTTTATTCTATAAACTACTGAAAACATTTCTCCCAAATTACAAATCAACATTGTCATTTAGAGCAATTATTTGCAGAAAATGACAGCTGGTCAAAATAACAAAAACGATTCAGACCTCAAATCATGCAAAGAAAACAAGTTCATATTCATTTTATAAACAATACGATACTAATGTTTTAACTTAGGAAGAGTTCAGAAATCAGTATTTGGTGGAATATTCCTAGAACTTTTCCATATTCCATTTTTGCACTGTTCCCATAATTGACAGAAAGAAGAGAGAGAGAAAATCTAACCCAGGGAACCCAAACAGAAAAATGAGGTTGTTTTGTGTTCCTTGGAGGGTGCACTACTGTCAAACCAGAGCGGCGCTGACAGAATGTATTCACGGATCAGAACCAAAACAGAGCACGCTGTGTCACTATCACTGCAGAATCTCATCATTCCTGCGCTACTGCCAGCCAGTCACGGCCGAAGAACAAGAGATCAGACACCTAAACTGAAAAAGACGCAGGTGTCTAATGGCACGTCAGCTACAAGCAGTCTGGTCAAGCTGCCAGAGAGGAAGGAATAGTCAGCGAGCCTGGCTGAGCACTGAAGGATGCTGGGATACTTGAGGGGTGATTGTACATAGAGCAGATCTAGAATTTAGACAAGGGAATCATGCAGAGAGAAAGAAAGAGCTTGATGCTTACCCTTGTGGTTGATGGACCATATGCACTACTTGCTCTGAACGTCCCACATCCTGACAGTCTCGTCGTTGGAGCCAGACAGCAGGAGGGTCCCGTCCATAGACACAGACAAACATGTCACCAGATTTCTGTCCAGGAGGAGAGAGACTGTTATAGTGGAGAGTGTAGGTGCAGATTTATACAGGTTCATATGCTCTACAAACTAACAAGTCTGCCTATATAATGCTGTATATTGTGTATAAAAAATAATAAAATCAAGGTGTGGGGTTTAGCATACATGCTCCAGACATGTTGAGCCATGGTGCTAATGTGGGAGGAGGAGGATTCTTTAAGAAAGAATCCTTTTCTTTAAGAAAACGTGATGCTTTTTTTCAAGATTATCTGATGAACAGAAAGGTGTGTCGCAATCACTGCAGAATCAAATAAAAGAACAGCATTTATTTGAAATAGCAATCTTTTGTCAAATAAATGTCTGAATAAAATTATTCTATTTTAATAATTAATATGTTGCTCTGGTGGTTCTCCATCCACACCTTGATTGACCTGGCTGTGTGTCATGGAGCATTGTGCTGCTGGAAAAAACAATCCTCAGAGTTGGGGAACATTGTCAGAGCAGAAGGAAGCAAGTTTTCTTCCAGGACAACCTTGTACATGGCTTGATTCATGTACCCTTCACAAAGTCGAATGTGCTCAATTCCAGCCTTGCTGAAGATCCAGCCAGATCATCCACCTAATTTCACAGTGGATGGCTTGTAGGCCTCTCCAGGTTTCCGTCTAACCATTAGACAACCAGATGTTGGGCAAAGCTGAAAAATTGGACTCATCAGAGAAGATGACCTTACTCCAGTCCTCCATGCTCCAATCCTTATGGTCTTCTGCAAACCTCTGCCTGGCTCTTCTCTGCTTCTCATTGATGAAGGGCTTTTTTCTAGCTTTGTCCTGCTCCTAGGAGCTTGTTTCGAACCGTCTTCACCGTGCACTTCACCCCAGCTGTTGTTTGCCATTTTTTTGTAGGGCACTTGATGTCGTCCTACGGTTGTTGAGTGACATTCGAATGAGTTGGCGGTCATCCGTTGAGAGTCATTTTTGCTCTCTGCCGTTTTGTAGCTTTGTTGTCCCCAATGTCTGCAGCTTGACCTTGTTCTTATGAACCACTGTCTTCGAAATTTTAAGGATGGAAGCAACCTGAGTTGAAACTGAAAGAACTAAAACCAGAATTGAACCCTTCTTTTCGTCACTCAAAACTTTTCTTTTCAACTCTTTTGGCATGGTCAATAGTTATTATTTATTCCAATTAATTTTGAGGTACTACTAGTACTGTTTTTGCCATCCACCTGCACCTGGATCACAGCAGTGGTTTTTATACTTTTTCTCATTAAATGAGATTTGGTTGAGATATATATACACACACACACACACATATATATATTTTATTCATATAAATATATAAACGTGTATGTGTGTGTGTGTGTGCATATATATATATATATAAACATCCTATATACATATACACATTCTATTTATAAAAGATCTATGATATTTTTTAAGATTCTCTGATAAATAATGTTCAAGAGAAAAGCATTTATTTGAGATAGCCATTTTTGTAAAATTAATGTATTTACTGACACTCTTTTTATACATTTTATATAATAATCAAAAAACCCACAAAAGATAATATAGTATAGAGTAAATAGATTAAGTTAAAGCCACATTAAGATCTCAAGCCACATTAAGATGTCACACAAATTAACAAGTTTGTTACAGTCAGTGGTGGAAAGAGTACTGAAAAAATATACTCAAGTAAAAGTACCATTACCTTCCAAAAAATGTAGTGTGAGTAGAGTAAAAGTACTTGTCCAAAAAAACTACTTGAGTAAGCGTAAATGAGTAGCCTATTTAAAAGTACTCATGAGTATTGAGTAGTGAGTACTGAGTACTGAGCTGTGGATTCTACCCCCTCATAATAAACGTACAGATGTAGTATATTAATACCAGGGGTCATCAATAAGGTGCAGATTGGTCCTCAATTTGTGTTTCCAACACACTTTTTCACAGCGCGCATCACGCGCTCAAACTAATCAAAAGTCAACAAGCAACAACGACTTATCCAAGTGACTGCTGCAGAACGCACGCGAGAGAGAGACGAGGCAGCGCAGAT